ATACAGGTCGAAAGTGAATGGCCTGTACGTCTGAGTCTATAACATTAATGGTATTCTTGTCGCTATCCGTCATGTCGTGTATATTATATATTAAAAATTAATATGAAAATATACGACAGACGTGGATAGATAAATAATAGACTCACCGAATTGGCTTCTTTGGAAGATTTGACCCGAGGTTGAGGCGTGTTCCAAACTTTGGGATCACCAATTGTAGCGTGTCGTCGAGTTGAGGTTAACTATGAACACCGCTACCAAGAAACACGTGCCAAATAAATCAGAAGGCGTAGGTTGAACGTAACCAAAGAAACCCATAAAATCTCCGAGAAGCCAAATATCAGAAGGCAGTTAATGGACCAGGTCGATATTTATTTGCTGGCGATCTCGTGGCATCGAAGGGATACCGAGATCGTGCCAGGATACAATCTTGGTTACAGAACGTAACCGAATTCGCGCGAAGTTACAATCAAAGTGTAAGTAAAAGAATGGAAGCACAAAATAGCTGTCATTAGCACAGTCAAACAAAAGCACATTAAAACAGTCACTGGTACACTTGGTTATAATAATAAGCGTTTTTATTAAACCAGTCGTGTTCTCGTGATAAATGTGAATCACTACAATATCATTATATCATTTCACTCCTGTGAAATGTTTATACATGGAACTACGTTACATGTACTGAATTACATGAGAAAATGAATCACACATATCATAAGTTTGATGTTTTCCTTCTGCTTCCTGTACGATGGCAATCACTAACGGATTCGAAATTTACAAGTGATAAAGTTTGAGGAATTTAAGGTACCTACAGTGTTATTCCTAGTCATATTAGACTAATATTCACACCCTGTTAGAAAGTGAAATCGAAGTTTAGAAGTTCGTTAGTACTCTCTATTGCCTAATACGGGGAACAAATGACAAGCTGTTTTGTCTACTGTAAACTTGAAAACAATTCATAGATTTGTAGTGAAAGACAATGAATGTAATGTACACATCATGTGAGGAAGTAAACAATTACGAACTTATATTGAGATTCATTTGACCTAAAAATATTTTGTGCCGATTTTTTCTCCGGTTATTCTTCTATTGTCGTGCGCCCTATTAGCCTCTCTCCAAAAATGACTTACCTAGGCATATTGGTTTGAGTGATTTAGGAAGAGCTGCAGATCACGGAGTCCAGCTGCAGCAATTGGTTAGATGCTCAGGATTTATATATATATATATATATATATATATAATATCTGTTCAGCTTTCATTGCTTCAAAGTTGCTGAACATCACTACATGGACTTTCGTCACTTATCGATACAGGTCAAGGGTACAGCGATTTTTATTAAAAATATGTATTTATTGACAGTTCGCAGGTGTTGATGATACACTTTGAGATTCGGTTCGTTAAATATTTATTTGAATTTTGTTACCCATGGTTGCCATTTAACAGATCATTTTTCAGAGAATTCAATCGATGTTCGTTGACTTGGAGTTGAAAACCAAGGAGAATTATAATATTTGAATTGCCTGAATTATAGTATGAAATAGAAATCCCAGAAATAACACAATTGAATTAAGAAGTAAGACACAAGCACAAACGGATGTATTGTATTTGGAATTCGAAATCAAGCATTCAACAAGTACAAAGGTATCATTGGTTCATTCAAACACCACATCCGCCACAGCTTAAATTGGAGTCTAGGTGTTTGTAATCAATTGTATGTCTTCTTCTCAAATTCATCTTGAGTCTGTTTGACATTGTATTGGATAAGGATTCTGTATTATCTAGAATATGCTCATTAGCATTAGAATTAACAATCGAAACTGGAACTGACTCACCTGGTTCCTGAAATTGTATTTGATCTACATGTCGGCTGTGTGTACTTAAGTCGTCGATGTCTAGAATTCGCACCATCGATTTTCCGACATTCTTCAGAATAATACCCATAGATGGTCGAAGGTCATTTCCTCGATAGTATGTAACTTCTGCAGACTCCAAACATCTCATATTCGACCGAAGAATTCTTCCTTTCAATATCATCGCTGGAGTCTCCTTCGTCACCGAATGTTTGGCATTTCTATATTGCAATAGAAAGGTATCTACTCCCCTCTCCAGCTCATTAAATGTTGAGGGGGCTATAGAATCAATAGCAGTCTTTAATGTCCTAACAAAATTCTCTCCCTGACCATTAGAACACGGATGTCTGGGAGCAGTAAATAGATGTTTGCACCCTATACCGTTCAACCAGGTAGTGACTGCATCTGCAGCAAAATGTGAGCCATTATCAGTCACCAACACAATGGGAACCCCTTCTCGACTAAAGACCTTTCTTAATGCTTGTATTGTGAAATCAGAATTTGGTGAAGTTGTGAAAAAAACTTCAGGCCACTTTGAAAACGAATCAATAACTACTAGTGCTTAGTATTTACCAAGAAATGGTCCACAATAGTCAGCATGAATCCTCTGCCAGGCCTCAGACGATACTGGCCATGGCACCCACTTCGAAGGATGATTTTTCAACTGATGACATTTCTCACAATTGTTTGCCGTACGACATATATCTGCATTTATCTCTGGCCACCAGCATGTGAGCCTTGCCAAGGACTTCATTTTCTCAACACCTAAATGACCACTATGAAGATCTTCAAGAACAGATTTACGCAATGAAGGAGGAATGACAACACGATCATTTAAACACAGAATACCATCAGGAGTAGTACATAGCTCATCCCGCTCTGAAAAATAGATAGGAAATCTACGTTTCAAATTAGCATTCCAACCTTTCCTTATAGCACTGAGTATACATCCAGAATATCTACGAGTTTCTCTAATGAGATCTGAACGTCTCACTGGTAAATGTTTCACTAACAAACAATCCGAAGTATTAATAGTTTTATCTTGTAATGACTGTCGAGAAATGTAATCAACATGTTGAATCTGTTTGGCACTTCTGTGCTGAACTGTATAGTCATATGCACTCAAAGCAATACTCCATCGCTGAACCATAGCTGCTGAGGAACGTGCTGAGGATTTTTCGGGATGATAAATAAACTTTAAAGCTTCATGATCAGTAACAATAGTGAATTTCTTTCCGAATAAATATTTATGAAGTCTTTTAACAGCCCAAAACACAGCTAATGCTTCCCGCTGAGTCTGTGAATAACCTTGTTCAGTAACAGTAAGTTTGCGTGAAACACAAATAACTGGTCTACCTTCCTGTTCCAAAACTGCACCAATTCTCACAGGTGATGCATCAGTAATAAGCACAGAATGTACATTAGGGGAGTACGTTCGAAGAACAGCATCACTTTGAAGAAACTTCAGTAGACTTCGTAAGGATGACTCTTGTTCCTCACTCCATTTGAATGAATTGGATGTCAAAATATTAAATAAACAATTTGCACGACAAGAAAAATTAGCAATAAAACGGGAATAGTATTGAAGGGCACCCACTAGTGGACGTAATTCCGTAAGATTTTTTAGAGACGGTGCATTTATCAGTGGAGCTAGTCGTTTCATATCTGGTCCAAAACCATTACCATCAACTAGGTATCCAACGCATTCAAAACTGGATACACAAAATGAACACTTATTTGGATTCACTGTAATATTCTTCACAACTAAACGACGCAATAAAGCAATAAGTCTCTGGTCATGAACTACCTTATTAGAACCATGAACAATGAGATCATCTTGATAAACTTCAACGCCTTCAAGATCACTAACTACTTTATTCATAACTTCCTGAAATATGGCTGGAGAACAACTTAGACCGAATGGAAGGAAATTGTATTTGAACAGACCAAAAGGAGTGTTAATTGTCGTCAAAATAGATGAAGATTCATCTAGAGGAATTTGAAGATAAGCATCTTTTAGGTCAACTTTCGAGAACACTTTAGAACCGTGAAGTCGATTTAGAATATCTTCAGCTTCTACCGTCGTGCACGTTTGCTTCAACAAACGGGAGTTCAGAGTTAATCTATAGTCACCACAAATTCTAGGGGTCTTGCCGTCCGACTTCAGTGGCGTAACGATAGGAGTACCCCATGCTGAAGACTGAATTGGTCCAATTATGCCTTTCACACACAAATCGTTTAATGTCTTATGTACTGCTTCTCGAAGACCATAAGGAATTATTCGTCTTTTAAGAAAGACGGGATCACCCTGTACCTGAAGTTTTATAGGCTTACTTTTCATACCTCCACTGCACTTAGCGGCAAGGTAAAAACGGTAATCCCTTTCAAATCTGTCCGCCGTTTCGTTTCAACGACCTTGAACGCGCTGACTGGAAGCGGGCATTCCGTATTTCAATTGCCGTGTGTGTGTTGGGTCCTATGAGTATTAAATGTTTCCATATATAAGTCATCTTTTGATGCATAATAAACACTAAATAACTGCTAAGAGCATTAACTGAGTATTTTCTGTTTTGTAGTGCACACTTTAGCTCTGTTGTTCCTTCGAAACTTGATCTGTGGAGCGTATCCAACGGCGAGCCACGAAATCAGTTCGAGGACTCAAATCTAAGCCTTACGAAGAACGCCTCCGTTCACTAGACCTTTACCCACTAGAATATAGGCGTCTTAGAGGTGATTTATTAATGGCTTATAGTATTCTTAACACTTCTGGACATCCTCTTAAACACCTACTTAAGCTTAGTTCGAACAATAACCTAAGGGGTAACACCCAGAAACTGGAAACACAACATAGCAAGACGGAATGTAGACACAACTTCTACTCCTTAAGAGTTGTCGAAAGCTGGAACTCGCTGCCGGCCGAGCTAGTCCAAGCGACTTCTCAGGAGTCCTTCAAGAGGCAACTTGACCTATTCTTAAGGACCAAGGACAGCATCGCACTATGATTTACCAATTTCTTTTCCTCTTTTATTGTTAACATACCTAGGTTCCTGCCTGGAGGATTTGGTGATCCCCTGCTACTAGACACGGAAGCCTGTTAAGCGAAAGCTTCTTCTATTCCGTCCACAACCATTTGAACCATTTGAAGTGCTGTAGTGAAAGTCAACAGCTATATATAATTTGTTGATAAGGTCCCAAAAACAACGTAAGAAAGATAAAATAACGTAAAAGGTTATAGATGCGCATAGTTTTTGTGAGTTAAGACGAAATGTTAACTGAAGGGTAAGTCCTAAATATTTGTTGTTCTTCCTTCAGTTAATTTTTTTCAAGGAATAACCTATTTTTAATAACTAGTGTATGTTGTCTCTAGTGCTTCATGCTCAAGTGAAATTTCAGTGAACGTAAGCGACGCGTTCCAACGTATTATGCTGAACAAGAGATTCGGAAGCTGGATTGAATTAGATAATGCGCTAAAGGATTTCCATAAAGTATGATAGGATAAATCTATGTTTTCTCAGATGACCAATACACACTATGTTCACGCAGGAAGTAGATTGTTGAAGGATGTGAGATATAAATACTTGTTCGTAGTGTTTCGTTGCACGTTTGGTCGTAAACGTAAATCAGAAGGTCTGAGTGTGAATAAAAAACCGTGAGGACTCTAACTAATGTGTTACATTTAAGGTCTAAATTTTTAAATTGCCAATCGATGTTTCGCGTAAGACTGGAGGGTCAACAATACGTTATAAAATCTTACATGTCTCACAACCATCCGTGTACTAGTTCGTGGATGGTTTGTGATCCGTTGAGTAGACGATTGTCATCAGAAGAAAAAGAAAACTTGAAACCAGTTGTATTGCACTGTCAGTCGACGGACGAAGTTATCGGAAGTATTAAGGAAAGAACAGGTAAGCAGGTGACCGCTGCTGATGTCAAAAATATGAAAGCTGAACTCTCCACTGGTAAGTGTATATAAATATATTTCAGGTTGGACTCGGAAGCAGGTATTGCAGATGATGCGACAAAACGGTGAAGTTAGAGAGCATGCAGAAAATGGATGTATTACGGCGATATGCTTCAGCAGTTATGATCAGATACGGTTGTACAATCAATATCCCGAAGTCGTGTGTATTGATTCTACTTATAAAACTAATAATAAAAAGTGAATATGATTTTCGTTTTGTTCTACTATGTAGATATTCATTATTCCAGTTAGTGGTGACAGACAATTGGGGTCGAGGTCGAACTGTTATGTTTGCATGGACACAAAGAGAAAAGCGTTTCTGGATGCCACGTAAAACAATGTGGGCGCGTGCCTTTTACGGCAGTGTATTAACTTTGGGTAACAACACGAATAATCGTGTTGAGTCATTAAATAGGCAGATAAAAAGATATGTACGCAAAAGCGACAGCTTGCACAAATGCATGTACAAGGCTTTTAAGTGGAGTTCAATGACTTTCTCTAGAAAAAGCATTGAAGACCAAATAATCAGTGGACGAACATACAATTATGATGCTCCACAGCGTCTTATACCCTTGCTGAACATGTTGACTCCATTCGCAAGATCCAAAGTGTTATACGAACTTTAAAAAATGCGTTTCGTTAACTTAGAATATGAAAGTGGCGAGTGGTTGTTTATGCTTGACCGCGGACAACATTACGAAGTGGATGTAAGTATTTGTGAATGCAATTGTAGCACGTTTAATATGTGTCGATATCCGTGCCGCCATCTCCTGCTGGCATATAGTAAAAGACGAAATCTAACAGGTAAGCTATTTAAACTATAAAATATAAACTGCATAGCTCATCAACTTCTTAGGTGTTGCTGCAGATGGAAATTAGACAATACGCACAATTTACAAAACAACACAGGAATTTCATTACCGAGACGGAGTAAAGAATATATACAACTTCAACGGCTCCAAAGAATGTGCAAACAACAAATTGTTGAGAAATATGGTGAACGCTTCGCGAATCAGGTGGAGAGAAAAGTCTACAATTTTTACTTAAGAATTATAAACAGCTAGACAGCAGGTTTACGATTAACAGTTCTTTGTGGCTTTATTTTAGACCACTATTTATACAACTTGTAAACTTATCTTTCCACTTTAGTAGTCATGAAAAATCAATAAACTTTTTCTCATTTTTTATTTTCGTCTTCATACTTTCATGGGGAGGTTTACCAATCGCTTTAACGAATAATTGTGTGTGAAAATTAAGAATTTGTACTACTGTATTAGTTACGAACTGTCGTTAGAACTTAGCGTTATATTGTTGTTCATTGTGAGGAATCAACGAGTCAAATAAAATAATAATGCGAATTCCACGTAAAACCTTACAGATTAAACAACCGCCTTACATATTTTCCGTTGTCAGGTTACGTCCATTATCAAGTTAGTATTAGTATGGGACTAGACAATTTCATGCAGCTAGTTCCTTGATAAGATAGATTACGTAATCCTTAGACCACCCTTCCACTCACACTTCTTTGCTAAATTATGTCAACTCTTCAGGTTGTCTTCACTTATCTTATTAGTTCTTAATTCACTGATTTATTCATTACATCTAGAATTATCACACAATTGATCTTATATGCTTCTGAGCTTCACTCGACTATTACACCACCCATCCTTTATGTTCCCTTAAGTCTAACACCAAATGACCTTTGACCTGTTCAAGCATATACATATGTATAGTTATTATTGATAACCTAGGTCATTCCAATTCTTCGCTTTCTATTATCTTTCATACTATTTCTTCCCTCAATCTTAAATTATAATGCATATTCAGTTGTATGCAACTTATGAGAAACCACGAAATGTAATGCAGTCACATGATTCTGCGTCAATATTTGTTTTGGCTTTATTTAGACCATAATTATACAAACTTACAGGATTTATAATATAAAACACTGTGTATGGCTGTTATATTTATATTTAAATAATTCATTAGATGAATGAGCATAGCAGTAGGCAATATAAAACAGTTATCGTAAACTTGTAAACCGGTTTTCCACACGATCTTCCGTAATCCTAAATTCCATAAGCTTCATACTATTCTGGAAAACAACAAATCCGTTTTGAGACAGACAATTAAACTTTGTTCTCAGTATCATATTCATTAAGTTATTCAAATAGCAAGTAACAGACTGTGCCTATAAGTCTTTTATTAACAAGTAGTGACATTCATTCATAACTTCCTAAGTAACACAACAACTGTATTACCGAGACGGAGTGAAGAGTATATAATAACTCATTTGTGAACCCTATAACAGACACGTCACAAATCAGTATTAACTAAAAAACATGGTTGTGTCACCATTCTCACAAGAAACACCGATCGTTTTATTCATGAAGATTTTGTTCCTACTTGATGTGGTGTTATACACTATTACTGCAGACGTTCAGAAAGCCGCTGGACAACACTATAAACGTCAATTGTTACTCACATATTTTTTTTCTCAGATACGTTACATAATTATGTCACTTCAGTACAAAACAATGGTACCTCTAATGGATATAACTTTTTATGGCTAAATACAAACAAGTTATATAATATTCACAATTAGGTTAACGCTTGATTGCTTCTACTTACATTTTATAAACAACTACCGACATCCATGTTCACCGTCACCGCAATCAAGGAGGTGAACCATATGTAAAAGATTTTACGGTTCATTTTCATGAAAACTCAATCTGTGATGTATTTTTTGACTAGAAACACGGTGAACTTTACTTGCTTGAGTTTGTATTGTTACAAATAACTATATTAAGCTAACTTCAGATTTACTTACGTGGTGAGCAAGAAGTACGTCAAACTGCCAACAAATTGGAATAAAAACTATGTTACAAGCACTAGCAATACAGAAATTGATGTGTCATGCAAAAAAGCCTGTTAATAGCTGATAAATAACGACACAAAAAATCCACGACAATATGTAACGTGTGCGCGAAAATCCGTGGCTTACCCGCCAGTCCGTGCCCACTTAGCACACATAGCTATCAAATCTTTAAGTAAAGTATCAGAAGTTTCTTTAGAAACTAAGAAGGACAACTCCACCTTAAGCCTTTTCAAATTCTTTAAACCCAATATTGACAGTCCTGTTTCGCTAACTAAAAATTCACAAGGTATGTATGAAGAATTATCATCTGTGATTAGCAATTCACAACATCCTCGTACGGGCAGTCTGTGTCCAGTAATCCCCAGTATTGATACTTCAGTGGGTCGTACAACAACGTTAGGATCTAAAGCTTTCAAGTTCTTGAATGAAATAATGGACTCTATACTGCCTGTGTCCAGAATAAAGTCATGAAATGAACCAAGCGATGTAAATAGTCGCTTCTGAATATGAGCATTACCTTTCGAAATAGTGGACAAAGACAAATGATCACTAGAAACATCCGAATTATTGAAATTTAAATTACAAGATTTAGTACAGCTCGAAGCAAAATGGACAGTAGCTTTGCATACTGACTGAATGTGTCCTACCTTACCACATTTAAAACATTTGGCATTACGAAATACACATGAATTGCGAGCATGAAACTTTCCACATGATAAACATTTACCAAACTTCATCTCACCTTTGTGATTTGCTTTGTAATTTCTCGTTGAAACACCTTTCATATTTACACGAGAATAGGAGTCATTGTTAAATGAACGCAAGTTTGATTGACCCTGAGATTGTAGATCATCACGACAACTAAGAAAAGTATTAAAAATCTTCATCGACTGGATATCAAGTTCATTGGCTGCTTCGTAGTTAATACACGCAGTTCTAGCATCTTGAAAGGAACAGTTTGTTATTTTTAACAGCTCTCTTTCCAAACTCGGTATGTTAATTCCTGCAATTAACCGATCTCTCAGTTGCACATGAAGTTGATCACCGAAATTACACTTGGTAGCTTGTTTCTGTAATTCAAGGATGAATTCCCGAGCCTTTTGGTCATTTTGACGAACCGTCTTATGAAACTTCGCCCTTTCACGGCATTCAAAACTGGTGCATTTTACATGACTTAATAATAGCTCTTTAAGAGTTGCATAAGGGAGTGAGATAGGTTTTTCTGGATATGCCAAAGTTTTTAATAAGCTGTACGCTTCTCTCCCAATGAATGTCAGAAAATGTGCCACAATTTTATCACCTTCAACATCTTTCTTAGTCATGCTCCAGATTTCGAACCTTTCCAAGTAATCCTCAAAAGCTTCAGGAGTTGAATGAGTATCTAACTTTTCCATTGCAGGCTCCATCGCGACGCCAATATAATATTTGAATTGTCTGAATTATAGTATGAAATAGAAATCCCAGAAATAACACAATTGAATTAAGAAGTAAGACACAAGCACAAACGGATGTATTGTATTTGGAATTCGAAATCAGGCATTCAACAAGTACAAAGGTATCATTGGTTCATTCAAACACCACAAGAATATACATAAAAATCAATGGGACTCAGATAATCACAATCAGGGTTTAGCTGGAATCCAGTGAATCACCATAGACGATAATTGCAATAAAAGAATTCGTCTTTACCAAATCTGCAAATTTAAGTGCATGTGCCATTTCTTACCAGATAAGTTAAGTCATTCATTCGTTATTGTGTACGCTCACCGTAAACTTACAATGGAATGTTAAGCAGAATAAATCCTGGTGTTTTATGCCACTATTGTGAGAGGCTTATTTTATTACTCCGTAGCCTGACCTAGTCAGATGAATCACAATAAAGTATTTTAATTTCCTGTGTAAGTTAGCGCTGCAATTTATGCCTAGCATACTTCCTAATGCTTTAAACCATGTTTTGATGCATATGTCAGGTTAACTGCAACGTCATTATTAATAATCAGGGAGTTGGAAAATTAATTGTTGGTAACTTTTTAAGGACGTTGTCTACCAGCTTAGCAGATGGCCGCATTCTGTGTTAATGTCACAAGTCGACTAAATGGCAGGATGTTGTTCTATCCAATGGCCCATCATGTGGTGAAAACGTCAATCAGAACACTGACTTATTTGACCATGCTCCTGTGACAAATCAATGATGAGTTAACCAGCACGAGCAGCTTTGAGTCATCCCTCAATTCTTATTGGTCCTGTGTGTAGAAGCTTCTTGCCTAACCCTGCTTATTTAGTCCAGAACACAAGTATCGTATATTTCAGACAGATGTGATTTATATACAAACAGAACGGACTGCATCATACCATAAAATGAAAAATAATAATTTTACAAGATCAAGCCTAAACGCGGCTGTGAGTATGAGGCACCGTAATTAATAAATTAAGGGCGAGTTAAGAATGGTAGATCATATAACACAAGCCAATGGGTCAACTAAAATGCTTATGACAAAAGGAATACGAATACGTATATAATCTAATCACATAATAATCATTCGGAAAGTACATGTGTAACAATAGTCCATAAATAATTCCTAGCAGTTTTAGCAACCAGTAATCTGGCTTCAGCTAGATCTTATGATCGTTGTCGAATGACTGGTGTAGAAATATGCATACCGCCAGTCCTCGAATATAATCATCCACTTAACTCGCGTTAGTACAAAAGGGAATTGAATGTGTCAAATATGAGAATGATCTTTTGAAAGAGCGTATTTCGTAAACTCATTGATCTGGATAGATAATCAGAGGAACAAAGCAAAGAGAAGGGAGCGAAGCGAAATGATGCTCAGTGGAGAAGACGTGTAAGTCAACTCGATATAATCAAGCGTAAGTCGGTATTTATGGTCATCAGAAACTAGGTTCAGACGTGTGATCAATAGGAGAAGAATTGTACACACATATTCCTACGTAAAATCAATCAAGGTCGATAGGGGAATAATTAACAGGGTCGTATTGTGAATGAAGAAGAATGAATAGATTGGCTTGTCCGGAAGCTAGAATAAGCTGTGTGGACTTGCATAGTACTACAGTCATCATTCATCTATTCTTCATTCGGATATAGCGAACGTTATCTTCGTTTAACAGATCTTGCATCTTCGTTGTAATAACAGTGAAATCATTCAGCGTTACATGTTAAGTAAGGGATGGTTTAAACAATTTCGTTGTGGCGCATATATGAATATAGCGTTATATTTATCGAGCTTGACCAGATTGATATTCTGTCCATCGACTTTATCATGATTAATTTTAAAGAGTAA